TTAGTGAGACTCATAAAGTCAATAGAGATAGCCTCACCTGGCTCACTTGGAATAGGCAGCGGTCTCAACAGTCCTATCGGATTCTCATGTGAGGGCTTGTTCCTTTGACATACAAGACAAGTCCGCACATACATTAGTACATCTTCTTTCATTCCTTTCCACTCAAAACGTTCACGCACATCGGCATACGTCTTCTTGAAACCAAAGTGTCCTTCTGCATCATGCATTCCCCATTGATCAAACTCTTAATTGATTCTAGGTGAGGAATACACAATCGTTCTTCGGTTTTGTCCAACAAGAAGAGTAAGCCATCAATCATTCGATATTCTGGAAACATCTTAGGGTTCTTTCGTAGTGTTCCAATGATAGGATTTCAAATAAGATCACTCCCATAACCCTGGCGGATCTGTTCTTTCAGTTCATTTCCAATATCGAGATAGGAGACAATAGTTCCAAATGAAATCTGCACGCCTGGACAAAGCATCCACAACCACGTTAGACTTACCCTTGATGGTTTTCACTTCAAAGTCAAATGTATCAAGGAATGCGGACCACCTTAGCAACTTGTAAGAGAGCTTAGGCTGAGTCTTGATCCACTTCAATGTAGAGTGATCAGAGTAGACAGTGAAATGCCTTCCTAACAAGTAGTGCTTCCAGGTATCTAGTGCAGCTACTAAGGCATACAGTTCCCTTTCATATGTAGAGTTGGCTACTTTTTCTGACGGAAGTTTTCTTGATATAAACTCAATAGGGCTATATCGCTTACCGTCATGTTGTTGTAGCAATGCCCCAATCCCATACTGACTGGCGTAAGTCGTGACAATGAAAGGAAGAGAAGGGTCAGCAATCTTCAGAACAGGGTAGTGAGTCAGTGTATATTTTAACTTTCTAAACGACGACTCACAGTCTTTGTTCCACAACCAAGGCTTGTCCTTTTTCAGTAGTTTTCTCATAGGAGCAGCTATCAAGGAGAATTTTCTGACGAACTTCCTATAATAACTAGCGAGTCCTAGGAAAGAACTGAGTTCACTGACAGTCTTAGGTTGAGGCCAATCTCTAATTGTTGTTATTCTCTTCTCTTCAGGCCTTGGTCCTTCTTTATTCACTATGTGCCCTAGGTATTGTACTTCGGGCTTAGCGAATTCAGACTTCTTCGGATTCACTTTAAAGTTGCTTTCTCGCAACTTCTGAAAAACCATCCGTAGGTGTTTCTCGTATTCATTCATGGACCTTTGAAAGGTTGCAGGGGCGTTAGTCAATCCGAAAGGCATTACCACAAACTCATAGTGATCATACCTTGTTCGGAAAGTCGTCTTGTGTTGATCTTCGGGAGCCACCCCGATCTGGTGGTACCCTGACTTGAGATCAATCTTGCTAAAATACCTGCAGCCCTGTAGTTGGTCCAACAAGTCATCAATGCGCGGAAGTGGTTCCACGTTTTTCACAGTGACAGAGTTCAACCCACGATAGTCAATGCATAGTCCAAGTTCACCTTCCTTTTTGGGCACAAATAAGATAGGTGCACCATAAGGAGATGAGTTGGGTCGAATCCATCCCTTGTCAGTAAGTTTCTGCAGTTGTTTCCGTAATTGCTCAAGTTCCCAGGGAGAGATACGGTAAATGGGACCCTTGGGAATCTTACTTTCGGGAATGATCTCCATTGTGTGCTTGATAGCACGCTCAGTGATTCTCGTCGGTTTAGACCGCAACTCCTTGTACTCATCAAGAAGTTTTTCAATAGAAGGTGGATAGGATGAAGAACACTCACCTACTTGTTTGACAAGCACCATCATCACCTCCTGATCCAACTTATTCTTTGCTACCATCGAGCGAAAAGTTGGGTAACTCATACAACAGAAAGACAGAGTAGAGTCAGAGCCAGACTTATGATACAACTTTATCGCATGCAGTTCGGACTTCTCGTCCTTGAGTTTGACAATTTTATCTTTGAATTTAACTTCTGGGTCGGCTTCCTCATGCCAATCCATACCCAGAATTAAGTCAAAGGGTAAATTTTTCTCAATTAGGAAGGATATCTCGTGTAGAATCTTCTTACCTTCCTTTGTCTTGAAATAGCACTTGACACGATCAACGTATTGAGAGACAATGATCGTGTTCTTGTCAGCCAGTATAAACGTAATAGGTCTAGGTAAATCTTTTACCTTCATTCCCAGATGCAACTTACGAATTGCCTTCTCTGAGATATAAGACCGCGTCGATCCCGGATCTAACAGGGCAGCTACTCACATGTGCGTAATCTCAATGTCTGCGGTCATCAACTCACCCTTAGATTTTGCTTTCTTCGCCCATGAACCCCGTAGTGCTATGAGTTCATTGTCCAGCTCATCAAGGGAATCATCCAGCGAGACGAAACAAAGTACTGTGTCAGGGTGATCTAGACGACGGGCGGAAGAAGAGCTATCCTTTGTCTGGAGAGTCGAAGGGGTAGAAGGGGTTGTACGCGTCGTACCTCTATCTTGACTCAGTAGGAGCAGATGCTACTCCTACTGACTGCTCGCTTTTGGGTTACGAATAAGCGGGCACCAGGCTATCACGTGTCCCACGATGCCACATGTGAGGCACTGATGATTGTCCATTTTGGACAGCCATTCCTCTCGGGTAATATTCATCTTTCCCAAGGCCTTCCGAACGCAATGCCGGGGTGCTCGGGAAACGAGCATGGCCTCTTCTTCTTCTTCCACTGATTCTGGCCTCCCTTGTTGGCCATAACAATAGTGACATCATCCTTCCCGGACTCACTGCTGCCATTACCTCCTCCTCCCTCAGACTCTTCCAGAGGTAACTTCTCTACAATCTCATCATCAAAAAGCACAAGCATATGGTTCTGGCGCTTTTGCCGCCAAAGGACCCGCTTGCCATAACCACCAACCGGTCCCGACTTTACCACCGGCATAAGACCCTTTTACCTGCGCGGTCATTTGCTCTCGTTGGAGAGTGAGATCGCGAAACTGTCGATAGTTATACTTCCCAGACTTCGATTCTGCCACGAGCTGTCCACGAATAGGCTCGGGTAAAGCACGTGAGTAGATATAAAAAATCTGATTGTCTTGAAGGTTCAGTCCAGGTACCTGCAACAGACGATCAACTTCACGAGACAGTGAATCAACTAAAGACCAACGCTTCTGGCCAATGGTGGTAAGCTCGTCGAAAGCTTTATCGGTTGTCGTCTTGTCGAGAAATCTCTCCTTAATCTTTTGGAGAAATTGTCTCAACGTCAGGGTCTTTGCCCACTCACCTATATCCTCAAATCCAGCGGCATTGGCTTCGGCTAGCACCCATTCCTTGGCCACTCCTCCCAAACAAGACGTGGAGAAAGCGACCTGGCTCTCATGCTCAACCGGTGTAGTACTACAATAAGTCTGTATCTCGGCAATCCACAACAACAAATTTTCTTCCTTTTTGTTACTGTAGGTAAACGACAATTTCATCTTAACCTTTTCTTTCTTTTTCGGCTTCTCCTCTTCCTTCTTAGCCGGTTCTTCTTTCTTGTCGGTCGGTTCTTCTGCCTTCTTGGCCGGTTCTTCTTTCTTTCATGCCGGTTCCGCAGACTCTTTCTTCGAGGGTCGGGGTTTGTCCTCCCTCCGCATTGCATCTTTCATAAGTTTCTCCTGGGGTGGTTTCTTTTCTATTTCCCCCTTCTTCTCCTCCTCAAAGCCCACCTTGTCCTTTCCTTTCATCATTCTCATCATACTTTCTAATGAGACAGTGTTAGAGTCTATCTTCTTTTCAAGATGAACAAGATAAGCCATAATAGATTGCAACACGGACGATAGGTCAGTCTCAACTTCCTCGAAGTGAAACCGTTCCCTCATTTCCTCCAACATTTTCTCTTGCTATTCTCTCTCTTCTTTCTTTCTTCTGAACTCTTCAATTCTTCTTCTTTCTTCCCTTAAGGTATTTTCTAATTGTCTGACATTCTCCTCCATTAGTTCCACAAACAGTTGTGGTTCCACTTTTTTTTCTTTTTTTGTCTCTTCTTGCTTTCCTTTTTGGCTCATTCCTTCCAACTGCTCGGTGACATACCAGTCAAGAGCCATACGCCCCTGTTTAATGAGTTCTTCGACTCGCTGTCCAATTTCCAACATCTGAACACCAGTTTTTGCGGCCTCAAGTTCATCCTCTGCTGCTTGCAAGTTGAACTGTCCGTAAACGTGTTGTTCAGCTGCTGGTCCGGCACCATGTATCACACCAAGTAGTTGCCGAAGAAGGCCTTGTAATGTTTGTATTCTTGCATCAATGTGTCCACGCGTCTTGAGGTCCCCTACTTCTTCATCAACGTAGACTATGAGAGGGATAGGAAATGAGAGAAGTGGAATGAATCGCATCAGGATGGAGGCGCGCAAATATTTCCAGAGAGAGTTCATTTTTCCCCTCGTATATTTGCCGCACAATAAATAAAGTCAAAAGATAGAAATGAATTCCACAGCACACGCAACTTTTACAGCAAGAAAAATCAACAATAGGAATGAGTTCTCAATCAGTTTTTTCTATCCTAACTTTGCTGTCTGTTTTCTATGTGATGACGTCCTACAGTTACACGTACAGGTACCGCAGCCACGACCAGTGTGATCAAGAGAACAATACACTTGTGAGTACACACAGCAACCACAGACAAACAATAGGTAAGTAGAAAGCCAGCACAACAATACAATCAATGGTTAGCTCCTACTATACCATCTGCTGAAGCAATGCAACCCTCAGCACAGTCTTTGCATGCCACGTGTCACCCCTGGCATGCCAACACAACAACTAATCTGCCACGTCAGCACATCAAGGACCTGGTAGGTCTACAAGGGGGGATGCCACGTCAGCAGCACAGACCTGTCACACTCTCAACACTGGCGAACCATATCAGCACATCAATAACATGACACAAACAATGTGCCTCATCAGCGATACCAGTCTCTCTGTTTGTGCCAGCGCCACGGCAGCACATTGCCAACGAAGCTCTCGCTGGTATCTTGAAATCTTCAATGCAGCTACGTCATCATCTTCAAGGGACGGCTGCTCACAGGTGCATTACTACAATGTCTAGACTTGCGGTATGACCGCACGCGTTAATAAACACGTTTCGTTTTGCACATGCGGCACTTCCTACTTACCTAGGTGCCACGTCAGCACCTGACAGCAGTCAACAGATCGCGATGAAGAAGTTTGCTCTGATACCAAATTGTAATGAACCCAGTCTGATAGGTATTGTTATATGCCGCGCCTGCACACGAGGGCCATTTTCCAGGCCCTGCGTCCCTCAGGCTGAAAGCCTGAAATTCAGGCTAAAAGCGTGAAAACCAGGGCCTACAGGCCCCGTGTCTGTTCAGCCCGAAAGCCTAAAAAACAGGGGCCTACAGACCCTGTGTCGTTTCAGACTAAAAATGGCAATAGCCTTTTTAGCSTGAAGCGAAGGGCCATTTTCGGTCGTTCATCAGAACGACGGGCCCTGAAACTCAGGCACCGAACCAGGGTTTCGGGAACAGGCTATTCTTGGCCTGTTCCCACGACAGCCTCGGTAGAGGCTGCAGCGCCAGCCCCTGGCACACTTCAGCATTGGCAAGAGCAGCCTCCTCGGCCTGGCTCGCCCTACAGGCCGTCAGGAGGCAGGCCGAGGTAGTACATAGGGACTTCCCATGCACTTCAGGGGGAGGCAGGAGGCAATCAGTAGTCTTCAGGATTCGGCAGCAGCACTCTGGAGGGAGCGCTGCAGGAGTAGTAGTAGCGTTAGCATTAGTCTTCAGCGCTGGGCGCAGTAGGTAGCTGTAGTCTTCAGCGTTGGGCGCCATAGCTAGGATAGCACTAGAGAGAGAGAGATTGGGCGGAGGCCAGGAGTACTTACCTGCAGCGCCATTGCTCCAGCTTCGTCTTCGAGGTACCTGCAGCACAACGGCAACTTCACAGGTTAGTATCTGGTTCGTGACAGAGAGAGAGTTCTTCTTCTTCCTCTTCTCAGTCCACCATCTCCCTCTCACCCTCTCCTTATCTGACTTCACTGCTTCTGCAAACTACGAGAGAAGAGTGAGAGAGAGAGAGCTTGGTGACATTGGATCCAGACTCGACTTTTGGGTTTCAGACATTACGACAAGGGATTATTTGGGACTTGTGACAAAGACTTGGTGCTTACGACATTCCCATCTCTCCCCCTCTCTTCGTCTGATCCCCTCCTCTTCGTCTGTGTATGTCTGGACCTGGCGCTTTCTTCCTGTGTACAGCGCCAGGCTCCTTCACACTTTGTGATGGATACGATGTATGTTTGGCCTGCGTTCAAACATTGATTGGGCTAGTCATTAGCATTCTAGCATTCTGCTTCGCTATCTTATACTACGTGGATGAGGTCAGTCCCGGTCAGGTCAGGATTTGTATCTAAGTCTTCCCTATGCAATCAGACTCATTCTCATTCACACTTCTCATACATGCAAATAGGTGTGCAGCATACTGGCGACAAGTGCCCACTCAAAACTCAGAGATATGGTAACTCAGTTCATGTACAAACTCGCTTCAATGGCTATGGCGACTCAACGCCCACACAACTCTCTCTGCTCGCATGTCCTGGATCACCCTGGATATCCCACACGCATCTCTCTGAACTCACACGCACACACACTCTGAACACTAACTACAGCTATGGCGGCTCTGGCCGCCGCTACCCTATCGCTATGGCTAAACTTCGTCTTCCTTGCCCACTTCGTCCTCGGGCTCACTGCAGACCTCCTTGCACAAGTCGCTGTGGCAGCGCTTCCGCATGGCTCACGCAGGAATGAATGAATGACTGGGCGCTGCCCCTTGATTTATACTTCTGCAACTCGTTGGTCTGGCCCTTTCCCATGCCCGAAGTGCACACAGTCCCATGCGGTACTTGCTTGACTGGACTAGGACTGGGACTGCTGACTCAGCACAGGCAGAGTCCACCACTTGCGTCACCACTTGCCCACTTGCCTCAACCTAAGCGTGGGACACTCCGAAAGGTCACTACTCAGACCTTCCGGAAGGCCGTAGACTTGGCCTTTCGGTCCTGTAGCAGCCACGACTTTGACCCTTCTGGACTGTAGCAGCTACGACCCTGACTCTTCGAGAATGGTATAGCTACGACCTCTGGACCTGACTAGGACTCCTATTTGACAGGTCTACAGATCGAACCTTGGCTACCTATGGAACCTACGACAACCTATCAATTGTTACAAATACACAGGTCGCGGGTTCAACTCTAGGGGTCGACACAGGTAAGGTGGGGGCTAGGGATCGAGCCCTGGGATCTGCATCAGCTACTGCGAACTGGTGAATACCGTTTCACTCCCGCCGGCCTAAATTCGAGGTCCTCCAAGAATAATTTCAGTCCAAGGCAGGACCTTTACCTCTCCGATCTCTCTCATAGGCTCTAACTATGTCGGGAGCAGTTTCTATAAGTTCTGATCTTGTGAACCAGCGGTCATCCTCGAGCTCCTGATAGGCAACTCGTACCTTACACTGTTTCTGTGAACGACCCCTCCATCTTGTTCTGAATACATCCTCACCTACAATGGCATCGATGTCATACCTGCCATCCATGTCCGGGGGGATCATGGACCGTCTGGACGGAAACTGTTGATTGGTGACACACGGCAGTAACTTCGATGCGTGGAACACAGGATAGGTGTGGAGGTGTGCTGGCATCTCTATTGTGTAGGACGGTCCATCCTCTCCGCCCTTGACTTCTAGAACTGGCCAAGGTCCTCTGTACGCAGGCAGTAACTTCTGTGAGATGTTCTCCTCAGGCGCAAACTCTTTAGACTTGAACCAGACCAAGTCGCCTACTTGAAACTGCGACGGGTGACGGTGCTTATTAGCTTGCTCTATCATACGGTGCTGGGCTTTCCTGAGGTTTTCAACAACATCAGCTATCTCTTTCTCATGTTGTATTGCGAACTCCCTGGTACCGGGCGGTAGCCTGTGAATCTGATCCCGGTTCAGTCCTTCAAACGGCCTACGTGGTCTAAAGGACTTATGTAACTCATTGGGAGTGCGACAGGTGGACAAATGCATGCTGTTATTATATGCGCTGGCTACCTTGGGCAGCATCTTGTCCCAGTTAGTCTGATCAGGTCTAATGTACATGAGCAAAACCTGCTGCAGGATCTTGTTCATCTGTTATGTCTGACTGCTGGTCTCTGGATGGCGGTCAGACGACATCAACAACTTAGAACCATAGACTCTCATCAGTTCCTGCCAGTTCTGGCTGGTAAAGCGACTATCTCTATCGCTAACTATAGACAACGGGACTCCATGTTCACTAACCCAAAAGTCAAAAAACTTCTGAATCACTAACTCCGTACGTGCCTCTGCAGGTAAAGGAACAAAAATAACATACTTGTTGAATCTATCAACTACGACCATGACTTGGCTCTTGCCGTGTCTACTCTTGACACCGGCATCCATGAAGTCAATGGAGACTGAATCTCCAGGCTGGTCTGGAATGGGCAAGGGTCTGAGAAGACCTATAGGGGCATGCGTTGTGGTCTTGTTTCGTTGACAGACTTTACAACTGCGGACATACTCTATGCAGTCAGTTTTCATTCCTGGCCATGTGTACACGTGCATCAGATTGGCTAAAGTCTTTTGCCAACCGAAGTGTCCCTCTGTATCATGGCATTCCCCTGGGATCAGACTGCGGATCTCCGCATTGTTGGGAATGCACAGGCGATCTACTACATTAGTCTTCTCGAATAACAAACCCTCTGTAGTGCGGTAATGTGGCTCAGTCTCTGGGGCCTCCTTAACCTTCTTGAGGAGGTCGCTATAGATAGGGTCCTACGCATACGCCTGTCTAACCTTCTCTTGCAGGTCACGCCCTATGTCCAGATAGTGAACTATAACTCCAAAGTAATCTGACCTCCTACTCAGAGCATCCGCAACTACATTGTACTTGCCCATCACTGGCTTGAGCTCAAAGTCATATTGGTCTATCTCAGCGGCCCACCTAGTCAATTTAGGTGTTATTTTGGCCTGTGTCTTCAACCGTCTAAGAGTCTCGTGGTCGGAGTTCACTTTGCAGTGCCCCCCAAGCAGGTAATGCTTCCAGTGCTCTACGGCCTGCCTGGGAGCGTAGAGTTCTCTCTCATACGTCGAGGTGGCTACCTTTTCTGAGGGCATCCTCGCTGACATGAACTCTACGGGTCTATAGCCATTGTCGTCGTCTTGCTGCAACACGACGCCTATCCCATACTAACTCGCGTCCGTGGTGACGACAAATGGCAAAGGCGGATCTGCTACTTTGAGGACAGGGTACTCTATCAGTGCGCGCTTTAACCTCTTTAGCGCAGACGTACAATCTTTATCCCACTGCCAGATTGCCTCTTTCTTAAGCAACTTGCGCAAGGGAGCGGCGATAGTGGAGAAGTTCCTCACGAACTTCCTGTAGTAGTTAGCTAGGCCTAGGAAAGACCGCAACTCTGTCAACGTGCGGGGCGTCGGTCAATCTCTAATTGCCGCTATCTTGCTGTCCTCAGGCTTAATGCCATCTCCGTCTAATACGTGGCCCAATTACAAAACCTGTGTTTTGGCCCACTCGCACTTCTTTGGATTGATCTTGAAGTTTGACTCTCTCAGTTTCTCCAAGACGTGCCTCAAATGACCCTGGTGTTCTTGGAGGGTCCTACTGAAAACTAGGATGTCGTCTAAATAGACTACGACAAACCTATCTAACCAAGGCCTAAACAAATCGTTCGTACATCGCTGAAACGTAGTTGGCGTATTGGTCAGTCCAAAGGGTATGAACTCATAATGCCCGTACCTAGTCCAGAACGCAGTCTTGTACTGGTCATCAGGATGGACTTCTATCTGATGATATCCGGACTTCAAATCTATCTTTGAAAAATATTTGCAACCCTGCACCCGATCTAAGAGATCGTCTATCCTGGGCAGTGGTTCAACATTCTTAACAGTAAGCATTCAGACCCCTATAGTCTATGCACATATGCAACTCTCCTTCCTTCTTGGGGACAAACAACACAGGTGCTCCAAAAGGAGACGAACTGGGCCTAATCCAAC